AGATTGGAAACCAAAGCCAATTTTGCTTTTTAAGCCATTCTGCCATAATCCTGGGAGCTGAACTCTCTTCCCTAAAGGTCTTTGAAAATCATTTCTCCTGCTGCCTTGAGCATACAGCCATAATTTGGCAAACCGCTAGGATGGGAATGGGATGCAAGTAGGATGCAATCACTAGGTACAGTAGATTGAACTCTACAGCTGTCATAGGGATGCTGACTAATACTTTGGAGCTTAAAGTCATTTCCTAAGAGCTCATATGATAGACCTTGGGTTGTCCCACATTTCTACCAAAGCACGTCTGAAGATAGTGAACCTGGATGCTGAACAGGTGGGTATGGGAATGTAGCCAGATGTATCAGTTAGGAGTCTCAAGTGTTTTTAAAGTGATATGTATGCTTTATATGGAAGGCAATTTCTGCATTCCTCTTTATATTTTTACATATAAATATTTAATGTATCATCTTCATAATAGTGCCCTTACAAATCTTTGAGAAAAATGAAAGTACATCAGGAGTATGGGCCACATCATAACCATGGCTTTTTGTGTCTGCTGGTACACTACCATGCTCCCTGGGAGACTTAGACCCCAGTTTGAGGAGAGTGGTATGGAGGGGCATACTTTTGATGGTGGCTTTATGGATATAAACACCGTACTCACAAACTCCATGCACATATAGTGCTTCACCCCTGGGTCCGAGATGTGTGTGGCACTAGGGAAGTCCAGTGGAGAGGTGTGTGTGTGTGTGGGGTGGCATTCAGGTGGGCTTGCAGTATCCCGTGCCTCACACCCCAACATTATCAATGACCTGTTACAACCCACCTGTTGCCTGGACCTGAAGCAACAATTACAGGTCATCTTATCATAAGTGTGGCTGCATCCATGCATGTTTCCAGGAGGAAGTGCTTCAAAGTTGGTGCTGGACTGAATACTGTGCAGTAGCAGTTCAAAGTCTGGGATGGGTTTGAAAACTTACCAGCTGTGTGACCTCAGGCTAGGGACTTAACCTCTCTAGGTTTTAGTTTTCTCCTCTGAGAAGTAGATATGATCACAGTATATCTCTCAAAGGACTGTTAGGAAGATAAAATGAGATCATGCCTGTAAAATTCTTTTTTTTTTAATTTTTATTTATTTATTAGAGAGAGAGAGAGAGAGAGAGAGAGAGAGAGAGAGAGAGAGGGAAACATTGATTTGTTGTTCCACTTATTTATGCATTCATTAGTTGATTCTTGTATGTGCCTTGACCGGAGATTGAACCTTGGTGTATTGGGATGACACTCTAACCAACTGAGCTACTTGGCCAAGGAATGTAAAGTTCTTAACACAGTGCCTGACATATGGTAAGTGCTCACACACAGTTGGTTTTGCTTATTTCAGGGTAGGGATAAACTTTTTTGTGTTGTGGAAGGCTCCCAACACAGTACAAATGCATATTCCTTTTAGCCAAAGCCATGAAAATAAGAATGAGGAATCACCACCGAGAGGGAAACAGACACCATGATAAGAAGGCAGGGAAGCTAAAACTGAGCTCATTCCTAAGTGGTATGTCCACAACTTGCCACTGGAAATGTCAGTGTGGGCACTGGAGCACATCCCCATGATGCTGGGAATGTGGAAAGCACCCAAGGACTGGAAATGAGGGTATGTGGGCATGGATGGGAAGGAGTAGCTAGATACACTGAAGTTAAATAAGTGGTTTTGTTCCTGTGTAGAGGTGGGCTTCCATAATTTTCACTTAACAGTGGCTTCCAGGAGGATAAGGCATTGGAACCAAGAGACCCACCTGGAGTCCAGGACATTTTGCCAGGGCCCAGGACTGAACCCTCAGAGATCATTTCTTTGCACTCCATGGAGGACCTCCTTCTTCTCACACACAGTCTGGCTTCCAGCCTACAGGATGGGGAATGGGATGCAGTTATTAATCCCATCCTAGTGGCTGCTTGGAGGAATTAAAGCCTAAGACATGACTTCATGCCCCTTCCCCATACTGGCAGCTGATCCCCCTTCCCGCCCCCGCTTCATGCCCCTTTAGCAGGAAATGTTCTGGCTGAGGCAGGTCCTTTCAATTCATTGCTGATGAAACTGCCTATTATTCACAGTACCTTGACAACAACTTGAAAAAATGTGACTGTGTCAGCACCACAGGCATCCCAGGCCCATTCCAATAGCATGGGCCCATCACCCTTTATTGGTTGAAATCAGAAAGGCATGCATCAGGCTCTGGGGGCTGGTGTCTGGTATGGGATGGCCAGGGAGCATCCACTTCAGTCTCTGGCTCAGACCAAAGAGGGCGTGTGGAAGATGCTGGTAGAAAAATGGCCTCTCCCAGTGTTCCTGGCTATTGAAGATAATTACTCTGGGTCCACAGAAAAGGAGATCCCTGGTCAGTTACCTCAGGAGAGTTTCTGAAGTTTTGTGAAAGTTATTGGTAAAATACAGCTGAGTCAGCAGGATGTTGAATGATGGACCCAACTCCTTATTCTTTGATAGGAGGTAGCAGCCTGCCTAGACTTGTCCAACTGCACTGCTCTGGATTAACCATTCCCAGAGAAGAAAGGGCTCAGAGAAGGTACAAAGGCCTGGGAGGGTTCTCTCATGACCATCATCTCAAGTCAACACTCATTCATTCAACAAATACTTATTGAAGACCTACTATGTGCCAGGTTCTGTATGGGTATGTACCCAGGTATAGAACCAAATACACATGCTTTCTGACTGTAGTGAGCTACCAGTGTATTACAGGGCCAAAGGGGGCCCAAGTGTCTGGACTGTCCAGTCAGGTGATTTTGAAGAGCAGCAGCAGGCCTCACTGTATACTGGCATTGCCTTTCACTTGAGCCAGACAGGATCCCTGACAGGTAGTTCCCAGAAGAGCTCTGCCACCAAGGCTAAGCCTGTCACCCCTGGTGGCCTCCTGCATGCACAGTGGAGCTCCGGTTTGGTGTTGGGGAACACACAAAGCAGCCTAGCCTGACTACACTGTCTCTCACTCCTCTGTGTTTTGCTTCCTTAACTGCTTTAGCCACAACTTTTGCAGACATGAAAAAATTCTGTGCTCAATCTTTGGGAGGGAATGACTAATCAGGGCCACTATACACGGTTGTGTATTATGTGCACCAGGCTAATGAGGTTAGCAGGGCTAGGTGGAGCTGAAATGACCAAGCCATGTGCCTGCAGAGCTAACATCACCCAGAAGGTGGTTTTCTTTTTCCTAATGCATCATTTGGAGTAGCAGCATTCAGCAGGGAGAAACCTTTTTTAGTTGGCACAAATGCACCTCATAGGCTAGTAAGGACCTGATATTACCAGAAAGAAATAAAACAACTGAGAAGCAAAATCATTTCTCACCATTAGGTTACTTGCTGAAAAGATGGAGAGGTCAGCCCTGCCTAGGGTCCTGTTGCTTCTCTCTTATCCACCCAATAAATTTCCAGCAGCTGTTGCAAGGGATTTGCTAACCTAAACCATAAGGCAGTTGGGCTATACTCTGAGGTGACGGGGCACCATTCAAAGGGAGAGGCCCCATTTCCTAATTCCATCCTGAGACCTGGCCTAAAACCCTGTCCCCTGTCTCCCAGGCCATCCAGTGAACTAGGCACAGAGCATATTTCTGCCTCCACTCCACCCCTACCCTCTTCAGCTCTGAGGTCACAGCCATGGTGGCCAGGAGAGCCAGGGGAAAGAGAAAGAAGTAGACAGTATACAACTCCTGTGACCAACAAGAGGCTTCTAAGAGGAGCAGAGGGGAAGTGGAAGGAACAGCATCCTTAGCTGCCATCACCCACAGGATCCCAGGTAGATGGGAGGAGAGAGACGCAGGGCAAACGCTCAGAGTGCTGCTGCCAACCAACAATTCAAGTATACAAGAACACCCACAAAGAGGCACCACCAAGGCTTATTGGGATAGTAAGATGAATAGATTTAATCATTCTTGTTTGAAAAACAAGACATAAATTAGTATATATAATTTATATTTTATGTAGTATATATACTATATACAGACATTAGAAAATGTATCCTCTCCATGAGGCGGAGGGAGAGGTGAAGGATGGTGGTAGAATGATACAAGCAGGGCCTGAGTGGCGAAGGTGCAGGATTAAGAAGTTGGGAGCAGAGGAAGACCACATCAGCACTCACACTTGCAATGGTCAAGAGGGAAATGGTTCCCCACTGGTTGCATCTCTGGCCCATTAAATAACTTGGTCCTGTGGGAGGAGAGACAAGGAAGGGGGAGGCTGGCTTCTATAGAAGAAGGTCCTGTAATCCTTGTTGGGAGGAATCACCACTCAGGGGGCTTTATTGCACTAGGGGATACCAAGGATGGGTAGGGATTAAGCACAGGGTACATTTTTATAAAACTCATGTAAGAATGGGAAATTTCACATGGGTATCTCATGTAATGATGATGAGAGGCAGACACAGGGTATGAGCATGTGGGAAATGGGGAGGTATGGAGAGGTGAATGAGAAGCAATCTATACAGAACATTGGCTTTCTTTGTTCCCTACAATGGGGCAATTGGTAGGGACTCCGTGTCTTCACTCCCAGGAAGGTCGTAGGGGGGCGGTGACGGCAGCAGTAGATGTGTGTCAAGGAAGATGCTAAACAGTGTGAATTCCCTTCCAGATGACTCCGGGGGGGCGGGGGAGAGAGAGAGAGAGAGAGAGAGAGAGAGAGAGAGAGAGAGAGAGAGAGAGAGAGAGAGAGAGAGAGAGGAGGGGAGGGGAGGGGAGGGGAGGGGAGGGGAGGGGAGGGGAGGGGAGGGGAGGGGAGGAGAGAGAGAGAGAGAGAGAGAGAGGGAGAGGTGCAGGACTGCACTTGGTAAGGCGCTCAGCTTCTTTTCTTAGAGAGACAAATCCACAGGGTCAATACACAGCCAAAAGCATATACTCAGGATTAACATATCACACTAGCTTCCAGCAGTTTAAGATATAGTCATCAATACCCCCATCCCCAAACCCTTTGCCCCCTCCCCCCACCCCCATCCCCAATCTGTAGCTAAGTGGACTCCTAAGGACAGTCGGTCTGGTACAGATATTAAGAGAGGAGCCGCATGCCTGCAGCCACAGCCCCTGCACTATGCTGAGCCAGGCAGTCTCTGAGGCCTGTGCTGGGTCTCCCTAGGGCAGACATTTTAACCAGGTACCTTAACTAGAATGAGTGGGATGATCCCAGATGCTTGCTCCCTAGTGGACTGAGCTGCCCTGCCCATTAGTGAGGGACAGGACACTTTGAGGATGGCTGGTGTGGAGCTACTAGGCCTAGGGGGCAAGGGCTCCCAAGTCTGCCAGCTGTTGGGCTGGCTGCAAACAGCCCTGTGTGGCTGTTTTCTGCAGGACTACCACCAGGGCATGAGCCCTCTGGGGTGGCTTCTGCCAAGTGAGTGTGAGCCCAGGGTAGATGGGCATATCTAGACATAGTACCCTTTCCTCTCCACTTGGCACAGTGACCTGCTGCTATTGCCACTGCTCCCTGGAGGGGAATAGATATCAGAACAAGCTCAAGGCCATCTGGCTGGCCTGCTTCAGGCCCTGGCTTCCTCATGCCAAAAATGGAGCAAGAAGTGAGCCTGATGTCAGCTCTCAGCCCTAGAGAAGAGATAAAATACAGCTCTGCAGAGGACATAGTGATGAGGGGCCTTGGCCTTCACAGTGACACCAAGAGGCCAGGGAAGGAGTAAGAATACCCAGGGCAGCAGCAGGCAGAAGACTTCAGGGATAGCCTCGATGCAGAGAGGTTTTTGCTCCCTGGAGACTGAGAGCTCTTAGCCCCTTACAGGCCCAGCAGACACATACACTCACCACAGAATGCAAGGACCACAAAGCTCAAACCTGGTGCTAAGACTAGGGTAGGGGGGAGGCCTGGGTATATGCCCTACTTAATAAGGGTTTTTAAGGAGTGGGTGAATGTGCTCATAACAGTCGCTGAAGTTGGGGATCCTGGTGGGTGCCCTGTGGCCACCCCTATAGCTGTTGCTGCCTGCTGCAGCTGTTGTTGCTGCTGCTGCTGCTGCTTAAGATTCCGGGCAGTGGACTCCTCAGCAGCACGCAGCAGAAAGGTGTAGTTCCTCACTACCTCTTCTACCTTGGCTAACAGCTCTTGGCGCTGTGCCTCAGAGCGCACGATGAACACCAGCCGCACAAAGGTCTCAATGAGGCTGCTCAGCACCTGGAAGCTGCCTGTGATAGCTGCCAGCATGTGAGTTGGGCTTTTGTCCACGTTGGCCACTCGGCGGCAGGAAGCCCGGAGCTCTTTGAACTTCAGAGCCAGCTCGAGTTTGTACTCAGATATCTGGGAGACATAGGGCTTGGGGGCGCGGGCCTCGGGGCTGGACACACACTGCCGCAGCACTGTCAGCAGCTCATTTGTGTCCAGCCGGGCAGCCAGGAAACCGTCAGGTAGGCCATATGCATGGGCCCGCAGGGCATTGATCTTGGCCAGGCTCCCCTCGAAGGTGGACACCCGAAGGTCAATCTCCTGGGTGTGGGAGGCCTCAGGGTTGCTGCTGCTGCAAGTGGTGGCATCTAGCACCTGGAGGGTCCTGCTCACTACAGGTACTGCCTTCTCATCCAGCTTCATGCCAGGTAGGATCTTCATGGGGATGGAGTAGGAGAGCTCATCCTTGCCATCGCTGGCATCATCTGCCATGTCACATTTGCGGTAGTAGAAGCAGTAACGGATAGAGCAGCACTTGCTGCTTTCACTGTCCTCGTCCAACTCGTTGGGCTTCCGGTATACCTCTTCTGGCAGTGAGAACATAGCCATCTGTCTGGGGCCTTTGGTCTCAGGGGCAACTTGGACATATGAAGGGTCTCCCAGGGTTGGTGACTCCAGACGCTTGCTTTTCAGACCTAAGCCAAGGGGGAGGCCTGCCTCTACCTCCTTGGCCTCCCTGGGTAGCATGCCCAGGGGTGGGTGTGGATAGACATCCAAGGTCAGTGAGGCCCTGTCACCCTGGTCCAGCTCACTGATACTGTAGTGGTGCATCAGTTTTCTGTAGTTGGGAGCTCCCAGACACTCGCCTCCCGAGGCACATGTGGTCAGGCACGAAACACCGCTTTCAGGATCTGATCGGCACTCTCGGGATTCCAGGCTGGTGGAACGGATGCGCTGGACATTGGTGGGACTGCTGAGGCTCAAGTCTGGGCCCACTTCTGGCTGCCTCTGGGTAGGCAAGACCTTGTCCTTCTCCCTCCCTTGGAGGCCAGGCAATGGTGTCTGGGGCGCCTGTGGCCAACCCCCCCGGCACATGCGCTTGCAATCACAACTGCGTCTTTGTTCACGGGACATGCCAGGCCCCTGCTGCAAGGGGCTGCTGCGCAGCTGGCAGCTGCAGCGGCCTGGTGCTGGGGGTTGCAGATACTCAGTGCCCGGCAGCTCCCCCTGGCCTGGTGGCTTTAGAAGTTCCTCAAGGAACTCCATTTCATACTGTTTTACCTTTTGCAGCTGGGCCTGCCGCTCATCAGTCTCCTTCTTCTGGCGGGTTGGGAAGGTGGCAGAAAATAAATTGCGTAGCCGAAAAGGACCTCGAGATGATTTGGGCTTTGTGGGGCCTTCAGAGGTCATTTGGGCTCCATCCAGGGTTGTTTCAACCTTCCTAGAGGGCATGGTGCTCACCTGACGGCTGGTGACTTGGGGCCTCAGTGGGCTCTGACCTTGAGGGTGGCAGCTGGGGCTCTGGTCTCGAGACTGGCTGATGTGGCTGTGGCTTTGTGGCTGGAAGGTGGGGCTGTGGCTTCGTGACTGGCAGCTGGGGCTCTGCAGAGCCATGGGGTAGCCAGCTCGGGAAACTAGGCTGGGCTCTTCAAGCTTGCTGCTTTGGGGTGTGCTCTCCAGCTGCCCCTTCTCCCCTTGGCTGGAGCCAGTGCCCTGCTTGTGCAGCAAAGGTTTAGCACTGTCTGGCCCACCCTTGCCTGTCACTTCACCCAGGGCTGTAGCTTGCTTGCTCACTGACTCTCGATTTGCTCTTGAAAGATAGCTTTTGGGAGGAAAACTTTGAATAGGCAGCCTGTCCTCTTGTGGGGAAAGATGCAGGCTGTCAGCCTGGCTGCCTGTCGGTGTTCTGGGGCTGGAAGAGATCTGTGGGCTCAGCTGCTGCTGGGAATTCCGTGGCATCTCTGGAGCAGTAGGACTCATTTTGAATTTAAGATTCTTATTGGCACTGCTGCTCATCATGCTGACCTCCGGCCTTCCCACACTAGCCTCAGGCCTCCCCATGCTGGCCTCCAGCCTTCTTTCCCCACTGCTGGAGGGATTGCCCAAAGCCCCACCAGGGGCAGGTAGACTCTTACTGTGAACCACCTGCTGTAGGGCAGCTGAGATGATCGCTGGGGTCACACTGCTGTTTGGGTCCAGGATAAGCTTGGGGCTCAACCTGACCTCCTTTGGCAGGTTCTCCCTTAGCTCAGAGACCTGCTCTTCACTGAAGGATGGCATGGCCGCCCTTAGAGACATCTCTAGGCCTGTCCTAGTGTGCCCAGTCCCTTTGTCCTCAGGAACTGGGGACAGCAGGCTCAGATTCTTCTGCTCACTAAGCTGTGGGGACAGTGCTGGGTGCACTGCCAGGGTGTATGTTCGCTCTTGCTGTGACTGGGCCTCTGACTGGGGCAGCTTCCTCCGAGCGCCAGTGGGGCCAGGACTCTGGCCTGTGACAGCTGGTTGGAGGGATGGGTTGGGATCCGGGCGCCCAAGAGAGTAAGGGGCTGTGAGAACAGCCTGGGCTGCACAGCTCTGGATCCGGAAAGGCAGGTCTTTGCGGGTCAGGAGACTGTCTTTGTTGAGGTGCTGCGCCAGGAAGTAGGTGGTGTTCTGATGCTTCATGGCAGACATCATCTCTGACATGTCTGTGAGCTCTGAAGAGTTGGTTTCATGGCCTGAGTCCAGCGATGATTCAGGGGTGATTGTGGCCAGCACAATCAGACCTGGAGGAACAGGGACAGGGCCTGCTGCACTTAACTGAGATCAAGTCCTTTCCCAATCATATGTAGAGAGTTTATGGGGGTCAAGATTAGCCAGCAATATTGCAAGCTGGGGAAAATTAGTCAGACCTGAGGGAACTGCAGGGCTGGGGGTGGAAGGACTGAGGGGAGGGGTCAAGAAGCAAGCTGGGGAGAGCTTATGAGAGACTAGAATCCAGAAGAGAACAAAAGAGGCACAGAGAAGATCTGGGCAGTTTCATGGCAAATTAACATGCAAAACAACATGCTAATCATCACTATTTTTAGATTCCACAAGTAGGAAATATTTTTTTGACATTTTTGTTAATTGTCCTGAAAAGAAAGGGCTGGCAAAGAGATGTCTCTCTCTATCTGGCCCTCCTCATCTGGCTAGGCCTTCCTACAGTCCTTGTAGCTGAGGCCAGGCCATTTAGCTGAGCTTTTCTTCCCTCTGGCTACCACATAGGCCTCTAGCCTGGGAGCAGCTAGTGCTTAGAGCTCCAGACTCTGAGCAAAGAGAAATGCCAGCTGTAGGGGCCAAACACATAGGGGCTGCCTGACAGCAAGGATGTCCTAAATACAGAAAAGGCAGGAGTTGGTACTCTCTCTGATCAGACAGTCTCCTACTGACTCCAACTTCTTCACCCTCTCTGTCAACACTTTCTCCCACCTCATGTGCTTCTTCATATGCCTTACTCCTCCCTATTCCTTTTCTATTGCTATATCACTGACTACTTCTTTTTAAGGTGTATGTTTATGGAGGTATGTATGTATGACTATGGGTACATGTCTGACGTGTGTTTGTCTACAAGATGGATATATGTGTATGTAGAACAGAGAATAGCATGCATGTTGTATGGTTTCCCCATCAAATAATAATTAATAATAATAGCTACCACTTATTGAGTCCTTCCTATGTGCTAGTCAGTGCTTAAGTGTTTTGCCTGAATGGCAAACCTCATTTAAACCTCATTTGCATTTAAACCTCAGAACAACTCTATGAGACATGACTATTGTTATCAAACCCATTTAAGATGACAAAAGTGAGACTCAGAGAGGGTAAGTGTTTTGCTAGGGCCACACTGAAAATGAGTGAAACCAGGACTTGGGTGCATCTAGTTGAGAGCCCATTCTCTAGGCAGAACAAAGACCTCTATTTTGAGCAATGAAAACTCCTGGCTCCCCTGATCCCAGGTCACTTGGTGGTTACTGGGTTGTTTTATTTTTCTTCCAGTCATGTTCATGCTGGGTGTTCTTTGCCTGTCTTCTATATCTCTCACAATTTTGCTTTGATCCTCCAATCTGGCCTGCCTCTGTAGCTGTCATAGCCCCAACCCCTGGGGTCTATCTGCAAGACATTTCCAGAGATAGAATGGCAAGAACTAGAGTTTTAGCTGGAGCTGAGCAGTAGACCCCTGCTCCCAATACTATCTGAACCACCTCTGGCCCATCCGCTGCCCTGACACAATACAGTGACTTTGATCTCTACTTGGGAAAAAACAATGTCAGCTGCTGGTCCTGCATGGAAGGAGAGGCAAGAGGGAGGAGGAATGGGCTGTTACCTGCAGTCTGTGGACTTGGGGGGTGTGGTCCATCCTCTGAGGCTGCCAGGGCTTCTAGAGCCTGCAGAGTGGACACAAGGGCATCATCTAACTCCTGGGCATGATCTCTGACAGTCCGGGTCTGCATGCTGTCAATCAGTGTCACCGGAATCTCATCATACAGGAGCCCACGCAGATGGCGTCCTTGTTCTTGGCTCTGGACAGCCCGGCGCTTGGAATCATCCTCATCAGAACTGTTGTCTCGGAAACCAGGAGGTGGGGCAGCAATGGCAGGCAACAGTGAAGTGCTCTCATCTTCCTCCTCTTCCTCCTCCTCACTCCCGGGGGGTGGGAGGGACATCAAGTCTACTATATTGTCACGAGAGGAACTGGGCCTCCCACCTTTGCGAGGACCCAGCTGCTCCTGGAGTTTGGTTTTGCAAGAGTCACAGTAGAAATTCAGGGCTTCATCCCCAAGGGAATTGTCCAAGGTATAAGACCGGGCCCTGCTGGCACAAGGCTCATGGTCCAGGCTGGCTGCATCAAAGTCATCAGGGACCACACTGTGACCTTGACCAGAGCTTTTGGATGTAGGGTCAGATTTGGTCCGGGGCCTGGGCTCCTCAAAGAAGATTAAATTCTCATTGACATCCATCCGGCTTTCCTGCTCCTTTCTTTGTTCCCGCATGTGGAGGTAGCAAAAGCTGACAAGCTCAGAGTCGGCAGGTGGGGGCGTGCAGTGGCTTGACTTCCTGGGGCTGGTGCCCATGCTGCCCACATAACTACTCTCCTTTTTCCCCAGGTGGCCCCCAGCGACAGGGCGGTGGGCGCTGTGCATGTAATCTAAACCCAGAAAGAGAATCAACAGATGAGCCCTAGTGCTGCAGACTGTGGCTTAGTTCTCTTGTGATCTCTGGACTGGGTCTCTGATGCACAGTTGGGTGGCAAGTACCAAGGCAGTCTTAAATGGCTGCTAGGAATTAGGGGAAGGGGAGTCAATTGCCCATGGTGCTACTGACCCTGAAAGTAGAGTGAGTAGAACAGAATGGCCTGAGCTGCTAATAGCCTCATCACCTCTGAAATGGGAAAAAGCATGGGGTGAGGTGGGGTAGGAGTAAACACCTTGGTATCTGGGCACAGGTGGACTCTTACATAGATAAGTCTGCTCTGAGAGTCAGCTGTAAGTATACTTAAATAAGTGGTATTTGTTTTATGTCATTCTTGGAACTGTCCCCGCCCCCACCCTTTTCAGAACCTTTCCAACCCCGCAGTGCTCTGTCACTCTTGTGTTATGTTAGATCTCTTCTAGCAGAAGGAAATAAATCTGACAAATTACTACTGCTTTAGTGGGAAAGTGTAAAATAGGCTATGTACAATGCCTGAGAATTTGCCCTTTAAAGAGGACTGTCAATGGAGTCCTAAAAGAATAGAGCTCTATTTTTCACACCTAAAAGAATAGAGCTCTATTAGTAGAATTCTGGGCATTTGAATGTGTAAAGCATGTAAGAGGCATGCTGGGATGTGCATATATGGGGAGAGAGGGCAGGAGGAATATTGTTATAATTCCTCAAATCTCATTATTGCTCTGTATTCATGTAGGGCCACCTTATCTGCTACACATACCTGTAGTAAAATGTTCTTGTCAACAGCTTTTAATGATGGTATGTCTGTACCTCTGAGGATTTTCTGTATCAAATGTGTCATCTCTGAATGGTGTCCCTCTCTTACTCTGTTTTGAGGGCCCCTCCCCATGTTATCTGTGAGAATATACTCAGACAATGCCAAATCACTTTACTATCTGACAGGTGGCAAATAAGCACTAATTTAAGATAAGGTCATCAGATATAATCCCATTTAATCCTTACAACAATCCAGTGAGGTAGGTGCTGTCATTAGCCCTGTTTTACAGAGGAAACTGATCCAGTTGATTATGTGATTTACCCAAGGTCAAATGAGTGATAAATGACAGTCTGGATTTGAGCCCAGGTCTGAAGCAACACAAAGCCCATGTTTTTAACTACTACCCTATAGTTCATCATGGTGGTCAAGGTGTTGGAAAACAAAACTTCAAAATACCTTTCAAATTCCAGTTTGCCAGGGTTAAGGTGTCAGTGTTGCTTGTCACTAGAGCTTGCAGCCACCACAAAAGCATAATGCTGGCACTTAAAAATAGAGCACAATCCAACAGCAATAGTTGGAGACTTTGATACCCCACTTTCAATAATGGATAGAACAACTAGGCAGAAGATGAACAAGGAAATAGAGAACTTGAACAACACTATAAACCAAAAAAATCTATAGAACATAACACCTAACAGCAGCAGAGTATACTTTCTTCTCAACTGCACCCAGAATCTTCTCCAAGATAGACCACATGATAGATCTTTAATGTTAGGTCATAAAATAAGCCTTAATATATTTAGAAAGGAATGAAATCATACCAAGTATGTTTTTTGAGCACAACAGAATTAAATTAGAAAGGAATAACAAGAAAATTTGGGACATTCACATTCATATGGAAATTAAGCATTGCTAATTAACCAATGGGTCAAGGAAGAAATCACAAGGGAAGTGGGAAAATATGTCGAGATGAAGGAAAATGAAGATAAGACATACCGAAACTTATGGGATCTTGCTAAATTAGTGCTTACAGATAAATTTATAACTGTAAATGCCTACATTAAAAAAGAGAAAGATTTCACATCAAAAACCTAGACTCTACTTTAAGAGACTTGAAAAAGGAGAGTAAACTAAATCCAAAGCAAAAAAAAGGGAAATAAATAGTAATGTATAGAGTATAAGAGAAATCAATGAGTCTAAAAGTTGGTATAGATGAGTGGATCAAAAAACTGTGGTGCATTTACACAATGGAATACTATCCAGCAGAAAGAAAGAAGGAACTCCTACCTTTTGCAACTGCATGGATGGAACTGGAGAATATTATGCTAAGTGAAATAAGCCATTCAGTGAAAGACAAATACCACATAGTTCCACTTATAAGAGGACTCTAATGAACAAAATAAACTAACAAGCAAAATAGAACCAGAGAAATGGAAACCTGGATCAGACTCACAGTGGCTAGAGGGAAAGGGTGATGGAGATAATGATGGAAAGAAGGGGAATAGTCAAAGAACATGTATGAATGGCCCATGGACATGGACAACAGTGTGAGAATTGACTGTGGGAGTGGGGGATGGGATGAAGAGAGGGCAGAGAGGGAAAAATTGGGACAACTGTAATAGAATAACAATAAATAAATAAATAAATAAATAAATGTTGGTGTTTTGAAGACCTCAATGAAATTGACACACATTTAGCTGTACAGACCAAGCCAAAAAAAAAAAAAGAGAGAGAGAGAGAACATTCAAATTAGTAAAATCAGAAATGAGAAAAGGGCCATTGCTACTGATTTTACAGATACAGAATTGATTATAAGGAAAGATAATGAATAAGTTTACGCCAAAAATTAGATAACCTATATGAAATGAACAAATTTCTAGCCATATACAGACTATCAAAACTGACTTAAGAAGATAGAAAATCTGAACAGGCCAATAACAGAAAAAGATATTGAATTAGTAATTAACTCCTGCCCTCCACTGCAAAAAAAAAAAAAATAAAGGTCAGATCCAGGTGGCTTTACTGGTAAGTTTTTCCAAATGCTCAAAGAAGCATTTATACTAAACCCTTCCAAAAAATAGAAGAGGAGGGAATACTTCTCAACTCATTCTATGAGGCCAATATTACCCAGATACTAAAACCAGACAAAAACATCACAAGAAAACTACAAAGCTATATTTATTATAAATATAGATGCAAAGGTCCTCAACAAAATGCTAGACATCTGAATCCAACAACATATAAAAAGAATTATACACCATAACTAAATGTGATTTATTGCAGGAACGCAAAATTGGTTTAGCATCCACAAATCAATCAAGATAACACACCATGTTAATAAACCAGAGGGTAAAACCAAAAGATCATCTCAAGGAACACAGAAAAATGGTTAGACAAAACTGACCACTATCTCATGACAAAACTCAACAAGCTAGAAATAAGAGTAAACTTCCTTAATATGGTAAAAGGTTATGTATGAAAAACCCATAGCTAACATCAATCATACTTGTTGGTGAAAGATTGAAAGCTTTCCTGCCAAGATCAGGAAAAAGTCCAGAATTTGTGTTTACACCACTTCTATTCAACATTGTACTAAAAGCCAGGAGTATTAGAGAGTAAAATGAAATATAAGACATCCAGATTGGAAAGGAAGAAAGAAAAATATCTCTATTTCCAGATGGCACAATCTTGTACATAAAAAAACTGAATCAATTCATAAATAATAAAGTGTTAGAAATAAACAAGCTCAGCAAGGTTGCAGGATAAAAGCTTAATATACAAAAATCAATTGTATTTTTATACACTAGCAATGAACAATCTGTTAATGAAATTAATAAGCAATTCTATTTATAATAGCACCAAAAAGAAAAAAAATATTTAGCCATACATTAAAAATCTGTGAAAGTCAAAAAGATTTAAATAAATGGAAAGACATTCTATGTTCATGAATTGGAAAACTTAATACTGTTAAGATGGCAATACTTCCCAAATTGATCTCCAGATTCAACACAGTCCCTATCAGAATTCCAGCTGACTTTGTAGAAATTGATAAGCTAATTTAAAAATTCATATGGAATCACAAGGGAAGCAGAATAACCAAAACAAACTAAAAAAAGAGAACAAGTTAGAAGGATTCACATTTCTCTATTTCAAAGCTTACTACAAAGCAATAGTAATCAAGACAGTGTGGTACTTGTGTAAGGGTAGACATTCAAATAAGTGGAATAGAATTGAAAGTCCAGAAAGAAATCTGTAGGTTATGTTCAAATAGCTTAATTTAAAAATTGGCAAAGGGTTAGAATAGATGTCTCCAAAAAAGATACACAAATGACCAATAAGCACATGAAAACATTCTCAACATCATCAGCCAGGATGCAAATCAAAATCACAACAAGATACACTTCACACTCATTACAATTGATGTAACAAAAAAGACAGTGCAATATTAAGGGTTGGTGAGGTTATGGTAAAATTGTACCCTTCAACATTGCTGAAGGGACTGTAAAATGGTGCAGTCATTTTGGAAAACAGTTTGGCAGTTTCTTGAAGTTAAACACAGAATTACAATCTGACTAGCAATATCAATCTACTTCTAGGTATATGCCAATGAGAAACGAAAACATATGTCCCTACATAAACTTGTACATGAATGTTTATTACATTATTATTCAGAATAGCCAAAAGGTAGAAACAACCCAAGTGTTTATCAGCTGATGAATGGATAAACACAATGTGGTCTATCCATACAATGTAATATTATTTGACCATAAAAAGAACTGAAGGACTGATATATGCTACAACACGGATGACCCTTGAAAACATTATGCTTAAGTGAAAAAAGCAAGCCACAAAAAGAATATATTGTACGATTCCATTATTTACAATGTCCAGAAAAGGCAAAGCTATAGAGACAGAAAGCTGATAAGTGGTTGCTTAGAGCTGGGTGTGATTAGGAGGGGAATAGGGAATGAGTATTAATGGGTACAGAGTTTGTTTTAGGAGGGGCAAAAATATCCTAAAATTAAATTGTGGCGATGATTGTACAACCCTGTGAATATATTAAATGTATTAAATGCACTTAAAAATATTGAGTTGTGAACTTTTTAAATGGGTAAGTTTTATGACTTGGAAATTATATTTAAATAAACCTGTTTGATAAAAAGAAGTAAGAACTGGACACATGATCAACTTCCAATCATTGTAAAAAAGAACAAAAGTATGTTCTGCACTAGAAAGGACTTTATCCCACATGATCCTGTCAATCTCTCATAAGGTAGATTCTATTATTATCCTTAGTATATAGATGAGGAAACTGAGACTCAGCTTATGGAACTTGTTCATGATCACACAGCTAAGCAGGGCAGGGACAGCAGAACAGGGACTTGAACCCGAGTCTCTTTGACTTTGGATCCCAAGCCCTTGCTGTTTTCAATAGACTATGTTGCCCCTTTAAATATAGTCAATGTAACTACATTGAGTGGGTTCACTTTAGGCCTTAGTAGCTGTATCTAGGGAACTCTGGATCAGCTGGGGGAATAGTATGTAATGACCCTCTGACTTAAAGAAGAAGTGCTCCAGGGGAGCATTGAGTCAGGAACTCTGTCAGTTCTGGAGGTCTCTACCCTCGGGTATTAACAGGTCCTGGCAATGAACCAGGTGCTAATTAACTATGAGACAGCTTAACAATCTCAATTGGCTGCTATCAGAGGTGGCTCTCAGGGGTATGTCCAGCAAAGAGGTGGTGTCTCCTCTAAGACAAGGGCTGGAGGTCTAAGTGTGGCTTCTCTCCCTGCAAAATGGAATCATTTCTCAACACCAGGCTGTCAAGGCCAGGTGATGCACGGCCCACCACTTGGTGCTGTGATTTCCAGATCTGAGGAGTAGCAAGGGGCTGGGCAGAGGAGAAAATGTCGCTGAAGAAGCCTAAATCTCCCCCAGACACATGGTTAGAAATGCCAGTAAAGCCAGGTGTGTTTGGCTGATGTCTGGAACAGTATGTCTCCCAGATTGCAAATCTGCTGTAAATTGCTCATCAGTATCTCCCAAGGGCATGCCCTAGTCTATCCCTCTGCACTCTTTCACTCAGAAGACTGACTTTTAAAAAGGCTTCCAAACAGCAAGACGGTGATCCAACTGGAGCTATTAAAAAACTACTATATATATACATGCATATATACAGTCAACACAACATTGATACAACCTACTTTCTATTAATTGGTCTTCCTGTATTCTATAGTCTGATGATCATTATTGATCACAAGAACAAATGACCAAGAGGTCTTGCATGAACCTCATGTCTTTTTTGAATCATCAAAAAAATAAAAGAGTCTGTTATGTTTACTGTTGCCATACTCTGTGCATGTTAATGAGTTTTAACTACATGAAAATCAGTAAGCCAGCCATTAACCAGAATGTTTGATTCACCAGACCAAACTGTTTTCTAACCATGGGAGAAAACTTAGAATAAAATCCTCCTCTCACTGCTACCTCAGTTGGGGCTCCCAATGCTTTATTTTCCTGGATTCCCCCAGGAGAGAGATGGCAGTGGCTTCTGTATTTCCTGTCATCCCAGTATAGGTGGAGAGTTAGCAGCTGTCTGAGACTTTCTCTAATTTGTGTCCTCAAGACTAGGTGCTGTTCTGTTATGTTAGTTGAATTCCCTCTATATAAGTGCAAAGGCACTTACTATATTGGCATTATCCCTTCAGTTGTCTGTCGGCACTCTCCCACTAGATTGTAAACTCTGTGACCATATCTGTCATTCACAGCTCTATCTGCAGTGCCTGGAACATAATGAATACTGGAGAAACAATTGTTGAGTGAATAGGTGAAATACGTACTTCAGTAAAACTATTGATAAAGCCCAACAGGTAATCTCTTCCCTTCCACATCCCCATTTTCTTTCTTTTCTGTCTCTTAGAGAAGAGGTGATGCTTTGTCTTTTTCGGTTGGTGATTTAACAAGATCCTTTAAGCCCAGTCAGCTGAGCATGAAGTTGGGTTAGCTGGCAGTCAGCAGCTACTATAGTACAAGAATATAGACCTGGTTAGAGAGACCAGGCTCTGAGTGGGCTGAAGCTCTATTCTCTGAGGAAAAAAGACCAGATGAAGTTGGCAGGACGACTGTTCCCTATAGGCCTTTGCTGAACCAAAGCCAGCACTGGGGCTTCTCTTCTGGGATGAAAGTGGGGGCTGATGGAGGAAGCCATTCTCAGCATTGTACCAGGAACTGATGACCCCTCACTGTAACCTGGGTGGAGGTCTCCTCAATAGTGCTGCTTGCTGTTGCCCTTTCCTGTCATTGGGGCCCTGGGATAAATTGTGCACACCAGCCCCTGACAGGCAGAGCCATGAGACTCACCCTGTCCCACCTGCCTAAAACCGTGGGTGGCTGCTATCAACCCAGCAACTAATAATCAAAAATACCAAGTACTGGGCCCAAGCATTGGCCCAAGCCCCTAGGGTGGTCAAACACTACAAGCAGTGGGGACACCATGGTGGTCCATCTCGTTCCTGCATGGACAGAAAAACCCTATGCTTGATACAGCCTGTGCCCCCATCACTCTGCAGGCCCAAAGATGGGGGTTCCCAGGAATTAGGGAGGGGCTCTAAAGCCATGTGTAGCTTTCATATAAATCTTCTTTCTAGGCTGCAAGATAATCCAATGAAATTGATTTGCCTTTGGAAAAGCAACATGATACAACATGGAATGTGTTCAGTGAGATTAAAGGCACACAAGAAGCCTGTGTCCCTCATGTGGTGCCACTATTGCCACAGCAAGGGGAATACTTAATGAAAACATTGGTTAGGGTGCTGATGGGATGACTGAAACTCTTTGGAAGGCAGGGTGGGACTACAGAACCACCCAAGGAACCTCTTAAAATGAACCCCAAAACAACCCTCACTTCCACATCTGTCCTCACTTGAGCTGCAGGCTCGTCCTTCTGCCTTCCTTTTCCCTTTCTCCCTACATCTAGTAAGAGGTATAATTTACTCAGGTGTGATGACAGAGAGGAAGACCACAGGTGACACTAACAATGCTAATGTTGTCTTTGTGATCAGTTGGCTATCATAGGTTTGGAGCAATTTGCCTGGAGGCCTGTGGCAACTTGGACCCCTGGGTTCTTTCTATTCCAAGTTAGTTCTTTTGCTTCTCTATGTGGCCCCCTTCATATGCCTTATGGACACCTATCCTTTCCCAACTCTGCATTTGGTGGATTACCTTCTAATTCCGGTGGACAATGTTATGAAATGTAAACACGAGCTTGTTGTGATGTTTGTGATGAAGAAAATGAGGTGAGAGGGTGTGTGTAGGTACACAGACCACTGGGTGCTGGGTCATCCATAAGCTGTGAGTTTCTACTCACAAACTCCTCAATCTAGATCAGATGTGACCATTCTGCAAGGCAAGACAGACTTGAAGAGAAAAGAAATAGTTGAGCAGCAAGGCAAGTGGAGGAAGTCTTCAGCATGTAAGGAGGGTAAGTATTTGGTGGTAAGTCTCAGCTTCCAATTGTGATGTTTGGGTGATGGGGTGGGGGGAACATTCAATGCATGTATGTGAGCCTTAGGTCTAACAAGTGGAATACCTGTTCTTTGGGTCTCCTCCTCCTTCCATTTTGGTTAGGGGAAGCAGTATCTGGATTGTGCTGATTTTCCCCAAGGCCTCTGACTGTGCCATCATCAGGACAGTTCTGAGGAGTGGCTTCACTCAGCTATCTGGGGGCTGCACTTGACTTTGTTCTTAGTGATCCTCCTCTCCTATCTCTAAACCACCTGATAGACTAGACTCTGGTCCTGCAGTCTTTCCCAGTCTTCTGTGGCCTCTTTCAGCAGGCAGCTGTCAAACCACCCCCCACAACATGACAAACAAAATAAAGGTTTTATCTTCATTTTCAGCTTCCACTTCAGGCATCTCTCCAAGGTCAATGTACCTCTAAAGCTTTACCTTAGACTCAATGAGATTCCTTAATTGGTTCTATTTATTGCTTATTTGCCATTTTTATTTTACATTGACTTTGCAATGTATTGGCACAGGCATCCTTTTTGGGACAAGCCCATCTGAAGGCTGGTTGTCTTGTCCCCTGGCTTGTGCCAAGTAGGATGTGGTGGTACAGTGTCAGCTCCTGGTAAATCAGGAGCTGGTAGAATCAGGTGAGTGCTAAGTCAGTGGAGCTCCTTCCTCCATGTCCCTAGGGTCCAAAGGGCCTCTGCCACACTGAAAACTGAGGCTGAGCCCTACCTGCCTTGATCATTGGAGGTGGAAGAGGCTGGCTGGTGGGCCTGGAGAAGACCATCTTCCTGGAATCCATCAGGAGACGGCAGTACCCTGCAATCAGGCAGGCAAAATTGGTGGCTTCAGGCCACTCCATCAACAGCACCAGAGGCTGGGGGAAAGACGAGAAGAAACATGAGGATATGGGAAGGAGGAAAGCAGGTTCAATTCTTGGAGAATGATAGTAAAGGAAAGATAATTTGCATAGTTATGGAAACCATAGTTTCTGAACCAAAAATTGAGGCACTTAGCCTGACAAATGGTTTCTTTTGATTTGAGAATCAAATTATAGTAAACTCTTACCCCAATACCAAAACTAAATTAACCTTAATTACACATTTAATTAATGAACCACTTTTACTGATAAAGACTAAAAATAAAAAACATGATGTGATTGTCATGTGGCTTTTATTTGGGTTTTCAGGGCTCAGAAGGTGTGCAGGCCAGCTGGGAAAGCTGGATGAACCTAGAAGTTGAGGTGAGACTGAGGAACATCCTTGATGGGAACTTCCTTGAGTGTGCAAGCTATCTCTTGATCATCTCTATAAATGCCCATGATACCCAGAACAGCTCTGGACATGGACACTCCATGCAATCAAGTCCTCACTGTGCCTTGCAGGCCAAAGTCTTTCTGATCTTCAGGCCTGTTTAGGCCTTCATGTGCTCCACTTTTCCTTCTGTTTCCCAAAGTGTTCTTAAGATGTTAATTGGTGCTCCCTAAAAGATCTCCTTGGTCAAATGCATGTGTGAAACACTGGGTAAAACAAAGCTATACAGATCATTGTACTTATGGGAGTTCTCAGATCCTTTACTATATTAATGTGCACTGCCAAACTTCAGGAGGGGGCCCTCAGTATTCCAACTTTTCTGAATTATTTGACAAAAAATCTATTGTAATAGAACAGCTCATGGGACTATCAGGGTTGTTGTTGTTGTTAACCCACTTTGGGCAATACTAGCATACTCTGCTGACTTCTGTTCCTAACCTTAAATCAGTTAAATTAATCCTGGGACTAGCTAGTTGACTGTTTCAAAGACCCAGCAATGACACACCAAGTAAATAAATACATACATACATAAATAAAATAATGAAAAAAATCAGCACTTTTTCAATTAACCTTCCTAATATCTGCATCATAATTTTAAAAGTGTGGCTTGAAAACAGATATTATTTTCAGATGGATATTAGCCATAAGAGCATTGTACTTGGGATAGGGCAGTGGCCTCCAGATTAAGACTACTGAAAACTGGACTTGCTAAAGAGGCAACAAAGGGCTATGGGTTACCTGACTTTTGAGGGTTCCCAGACCAGGCATTAAGAGTTGAAAGAATTAAGAGTAGGGAATCAGTCCCTTTCCTGACCAGAAAGAAGGCCACTACTTCACCAGTCTAGGCAAGAGATGATTAGGGCTTCCACTAGGATAGTGGCAATATAAATGGGCATCATGGAAATCCGATGAAATTTGGTCACCAAGTAGACTAGCCTTTTCGGCTGGACTTTGGGAACCATTCTGAATCCACACCAGCTCAGCTTTTAGATAAAGTTACACCAGTTTCCTTTGCTATCTCCTAGAATTCTAGCACACAGCTCAAGTTAAATATTTTGTAGTTCAAATAGACCAGAGGTTGGCAACCTTTTCCTATAAAGGGATAGATAGTAAATATTTTAGGTCTTGTGAGCCATACAAGGCTCTGTTGCAACAACTCTGCTATTGTAGTGTGAAATAGCCATAAATAATCCATAAGCTAAATAAATGGATGTTATGGCATTCTAAGAAAACTTTATTTACAGATATAGGTGGTGGGGCAGGTTTGGTTAATGGGCCACAGTTGGCCACCTGACCTATGAGTGAAGCTTCTTTCCAGCTAAATACAATAGTTTGTATTAATTCACACTTCTCTGCTTTTTTCATTTGCCAACAGTAATCACCTTCTCCTTTGGAAATTCTCTTCCTGGCTTCTGTTTCTGTTAGGTGATACTGTGTTCTGGTTCTGTAATCTCTATTTCCATCCCTCTGTATTTGGCCATCTCTATTTGTACAACCTCTGCACCCAATCCATGTCCCAGGCTCAGTCCTCAACCTTTAGTTCTTCATCATTATGGCATAAACTTTCGTCTCTGTGCTGGGGATTTCAAAATCACTATCTCCAGACTTTTTCCATCTGGAACACTTTTCCTATCTCAGAACTTGTAAAGTGGTCTATATCATACAATCTTGTGCTTGAAAGAATCCTATCTTGAGTTGTTTAATAGTTATTGTATATCCAATTACACTGCAAGTCAGAGTAAGGTATTCAAATTCTACCCCTTAGGCAGTGAGTTAGCAATACTCCTGTGGAGCTTACGCAATACCATCAGCAAGAAAAGCAATGGTTCCTTTCTACAGTAAGGAAGGGACCAGGATGAGATGTTACCTTTGGGTCATTATTAGCAAGGGACAGAGGGGATGTTTGTACCTCCAGTTAATAAATGTTTCTCACTCACAACAATGGGTCAACTTTGTGTACAACAAAGTAGAGACAGAAGGAGAATAGAATGGCATGGGAGGGCAGGGAGAGAGTTACCCTTTTCTGTCTCACCCCCTGTCACCAGTGGCGAAAGGGTTATGAACAGCTGCTACCACCATTACTATAAATACCCAAGACTCACTAGTCTTGCCCCTGGAGCTGTCACAGACATCATAGCTCTCCCTTCTGCCACTGCTTTATTTCAGGCCTTCATCATCATCCTTCAAGACCAAAATTTGTCGAGGTATGTGTAAATGGGTGACAAGTATACAGAGATCCTGAACCCCTTAGGCTCTGGTCCTGTTGCCTCTGGCCACAGGCTGCCTCATCTGTTTATTCCAGTGTGCCATACCAATCTGGACTTTTTTTGTGATACAGAAAAGGTGGGATATACCTCAGGATCTCCATAGCCTTCTGATTGAACTCCCTGCCTCTGGTGTCTACCCACTTCACTCCATTTCACTTCCATATTGCTGCCTAAGTCATGTTCTAAAATACAAGTCTCCCTGTCACTTAAAACCTTAAATAGCTCATCACCTAAAGCCCACTGCCTTTCACTGTCACACAAAGCCCTTCGGGACCTGAACCCATCCTATATCTCCCACTAATTCTGTCTGTGCTCTCCTATCACAGCCCCTCATCTTATGCTCCAGCAATGACACATAATTTACAGTTTGCCAGAGATGTCATGTTATTACACCCCTTCATACCTTAACCTATGCTGGTACCTCTGGATGAAATGCTCCTGCACCCCACTCAGTCTACCCAGCAAGCTGCTACCCAGTGGTTAAATGGCTCATAGACAACATGACCCACTGAAAAGATGCAGCTACTCATCTGAGAACAGAGCCAAAATAGTTCCTGAACTCATGGCACTTATAATCTAGCAGAAACTAAGACATAAACCAAATAATCACAGAAATGAATATGATTACAAGGTATGATAAGCACTATGAAGGAAAAGTACAGAGAGTGCTCAGAACATGTAATGTCCTGCATCAGGGTGTGGGTAGGTAGATGGGTGCAAATGTGTGCATGTGTGAATAATTTGGCTGTAGAAGCTAGAAAGAGCTTCTTTGAGGAAATGCCATTGGTTGAAAAATAAGAGACCACTTGACCAAAGTACAGGCTGATTGGCTGGCTGACTGATAGACAAACTAATAGACTAGCTGGTTTCAGGGTTGTCTGACCTACTGATGCCCTGGCTGACAAGCTGGCTGCAGGACAAGAAGAATACTTAAAAGCCTAACAGTCTGACATCCTGACCAGTTAAACTGCCTGGTTGGCTGGTCAGCTGGCTGATGGACAGTTTGAAGGCTAAGTGACTAACTGGCTGACTGACTTAACTGTCTGGCTTCACTTCAGTTTCCCCTCTTATTTCTTAAACCAAATATAGCCTGATGTCAGTAATAAAGCAGCATGAAAGCAAAATCCTGTGCACAAAGAGAGCCAATCACATCCCCAGCTGGCTCAGAATGGCTCAGCATAGCACAGCACATCAGGAACCTTTCCTCTCCATCCCCACACAACCAAGTGGGCTCCAGCACAAGCCAAATGGCAGCTTGTAAAAGAAACACAGATGCTTTTTTTTTTTTTTTGCCAGCAGGGGTAAAAATGAAATCAAAGGCAGGCAATCAAAGAGGTTGGATAGGTTTTCTTACAAACCTTCAAAAACAACATTTTCTTTTAGATAGGATTTTAGTGATCATGATGTCTAATGAAATGTTTGTCCCTATAGAAAACACTAGAGTAATAAAGTTCAAACATGAGAATAGGAGACACACTGGGCCACAAGAGATCCCTTAGGACATTCCTTAGATGGCTTCTTTTCTTTCCTTGTGTGCTTTTGTAGTAATGGGTGTACTAACAGCCCAGGGCTGTCTTAGCCCCAGACTGTGTGTGCTCCACTAAGAGCAAGTAAACTGAATGAAAACTAACTAAAAATATACCCAGACTATCTTTACATGGTGAAGGAGAAAGGGAGAATGGAGTTGGAGATATGGTGGGACAAAAGAAGGTATAGTTTGACATGCTCCAGCCCCATCTCCTTCCTGGGGTGCTCTGGGAGCTTGAAGGCACCCAGTACTTTGGGATGCCAACCAGGGAGGGGACTGGTCCTGGAGTAGCCTCAGATTACCCTGGCATCCCTGAAAATGAGAAAAGAATTTGAATTCAGGGGCTTGGAAGGGCAAGGGTACAAGATGATGGTCCTTGAGCTCCAGAGGACCAGTATGTTTGGGTCCTTGCTTCCACATCATTGGGAAAGGCTAATTTGGCATAGCCAGTCAATTTAGGGGCAAGGCAGAATATCACTTTAAGGCAGGGGTTCTCCAGCCAAATGCATATCAGAATTATCTGGGAAGCTTTAAAAACCTATATAGCCTTGGGTAAGTAGAAGAGGGTAGAGGGGAGATAAACGGTAATGGAAGACTTGACTTGGGGTGATGAACACACAATACAGCGTACAGCTGTATCATAGAATTGCACACCTGAAACCTATATAACTTTGCTAACCAAGTCACCCCAATAAATTCAATAAAAAGGGGGAAAATCCTATATACTCTAAAGTTTAAAAAAGTAAAAGAAAATAAAAACCTATACACT